CTTTTTCTAAATTGCAATCCATCCAGGAGGCCAAGTCCCTGCCGGAACAACGAAGCAGAATTATCATTGGTGAGGCTTTCCAGGTTAACTCGTTTACTTTTCTAAAAGGTTTATGTACTTAAATCATCTGTACGTCCCAGGGATTGGTAAAGCTCTCACTTGCTATGAAGGAAAGGGATGTCGCAAAGTCCAGGCTTGATCAAATTCTGCGACAGGATCCTAAAGATCACTGGGCACTTTCTGAGAGAGGTTGGCTCGCTTTCGAAACCAGTTCCTTCAACCAAGCAAAGGCAGACTTGGAGAATGCTGTTTCTGCATGCCAGGAATCTGCTATTTACCACTACCGTTTGGTATGCATAATGTGCTGTATTACCATGACAAAGATGGACGTTTCAGGGACGCGTTTATTGGGAAACCGAAGACATGAAGGAGAAAGCAGCACACGAATTTGTTGAATCTGCAAAACTTGACCCCAGTCGAGCTGATACGTTCATCTACTTGGGCCACTACTACAGAGAGCTTGCAAAAGATCTTCGAAGGGCAGTTCGCTGCTACCAAAAGGCTGTGGCTTTGGACGCCGAAAATGAAGCGACGGGAGTAAGCAATCGCCTGTCCTTTTGTCCATGCTGACGTCATTTATAAGCTTGTTCAGGAAATGCTTTGTGACATCCTTGATCATGGGGGGCAGTTTTCAATGGAAAAGAACATTTGTGAAGAGGCTTCAAAAAAATCACCTCGTGCATTTTGGGCATGGCGGCGTCTTGGATTTATTCAGGTGCGAGCCTCCTTATAGTGCTTCTGGCCATCAGCTCAAACTTCGCGCAGGTAGCGGAACGGAAGTGGTCAGAGGCAATATCGAGCACGCAATATGGTCTTCGCGGATATCCGACTGATTCCCGCCTTTGGGAGGTAAGCCATGTAACCGTCGGTTAAGCTGTGACATCCTTGTGTTTTGTTCAGGCTCTAGCACTGTCTTATAAAAAGCTAGGCATGCTTACTGCCGCGTCGAAGGTTCTCGATTTCTGTTTTATCGTCTGAGCTGACGTTCTATCCTTAGGCTTTTGGTCGTGCATTTGACCTTGACAACAGTAGCCTGTTCGCTGCTCTTGAAATGGGAGCTATCGACCTTGCCTTGTCCGCATTTTCTAAGGTGTTTTGTTCTTCTACGGGTCACGTTTTCTTACAAAGCTACTATTTACAGGCCACCCGAGCGTATCGTGAAGCCTTGCGTATCTCTCCTGGTGAGCTCATTGCTATTCATGGCCTCGTATCTTCCTTACTTGGTCAAGCTCGGGAGTGCTTTACTCAGGGTGCGTTTTGGTGGTGTGCTACAATCTTGAAGGTAAGCTGTTTTCTCTAGTAGGCCAAAAGTTTTTTAACTCAAGGCTCTCAGGAGGCAATTGATTTAGCCATTGGAAGCAGGTCGATGTATGGGCATTTGGTTGCCATATGGAAGCACCTTGGCGATGCAAGCGTAAATATTCGCATTGGTAGTGCTTCTATTGTCTTATTTTTCCTGTTGCAGTTGATGTACGCGCAGTCGTTGCCTTTTGAATCAGCAGATCCGCAGAGATCTTGGCAAGAGGCTGTTGACTCGTGGTACAGTGAACGAGTAGATGCTGCGAATAACGCTGTGCATGCGTATCGACGTGCAATCCATTTGCTACCAAGCGAAGGGAGTCTGTATCGTGATCTTGCAACCGCAATGGAGTATACGTTGAATTTAAAGAAACCTTCCAGACCCTCACAAACAAGATGGTAACACCACTTTCTCTATCATTTCTCTGACTCGTATTCTGCCAGGTTCGAAACGGAAATTATTGTCTGCTGTGGTTTGCAACACGATGGATCGAACGCGGATATGTGGGTGTCTCTAGCTCTCGTCACTCAACACAAAGGACTCCGGCAGCATGCTCTTATTCAGGCTCTCCGACTTGATGCAAACCATGCAATTGCATGGGCTTATCTAGGCCAAGTACGTGTTCTGTCCCCTCGAAGCTGTGTGTATTTATCTTTGCCTTTGCAGCTCTATTTGAGTTTGGGTGAGCAAGTCCTGGCGCAACAATCATTCGATAGAGCTCGAAGTGCAGATCCAACTTTATCATTGCCATGGGCCGGAATGGCACTCATCCATTATAATTTAAGCCAGAGGTTTTTCTTTTTAATTCTTTTCTCAAGTTATCTTCTTACTTACTCACGCATTTCATCCTTTTGTAGAACTACCTCGAAGGATCAGGCTTTAGAAGCGTTCGCAAGCTGTTCCTGTGCTGTGCAACTCTCATGTGTAAGCATGAACTTGTTCCTTCGTCTCTTTTTGTATCTCATAAATTCATGTCAGGCACCTAACGTACATCTCGGGGTTGGCCAACTAGCGGCGCAGACGCAGAATCTTGGCCTACCTCAGGTCAGTGTTTTTATCCTCTGTAGAGTCAATTCGTAATGTTGTGGTTGTTCCAGGTGAATTTGGCTCTGCAACATGCATCTCAAAGACAGCCATTACAAGCAGCAGCACATAATCTGCGAGGGCTGTCATGTGAGTCCAGAAAGGATTACATGCCAGCTGTTGTAGCGTATAGGAATTCCCGTTCTGCAGCTACAAAAGCATTACTATCTAGTGAGCTTCAGACTCTTATTACGGCGAATCTTGCTCGAACTTTATGCAAGGTCAGAAGCTTTTCCTTCCTCTTTCTATACTGATTGTTGTCAGGGGGTCCAGGCTGGAAATGCAGAGGATGCAGTTCTGGAGTATAACAAGCTTCGTGATTCCAGTAAGAAAGCCTTACATATTTGTTCGAGCTTGCAAGATTTGTTGTTTGTTGTGTAGGTTCGTTACATGACTTGGATGATATCCGAAGCTATGCTGTCGCATTAAGGGACTCGGGTCAAGGAGTTCAGGCGGAGGTACTCATAAAGAAGGCACTAACCACAAGAACACCACATGACAGCAGAGCACAGTTCGCTGCTATGCTCGTGCTTCTCTCCAAATTAACATACTTCAACCAAGGACCTGTGCCTGGATTTGACGTTCTATGGAGTGCTCCTGACATACTCTTTTCGGACGAAGAACTTTGCTTGACGGCTCTTTCGCTAGCACTCTCTACCTGTAGAACAGATCGGATTTCTGCAGCCATTAGTCGATGCCGTTATCTATTCACTTCAAAGTACGCAGCAGATGCGTACGTGCTAATTGCATCAATGAACCAGGTGAGCTTTTCGTTCTATCATTCTAATGTGCGAAGCTGTTGATTTGCTATCAGGCTGAGGTAATTCCGGACATGAAAAGAGCACTGCATTGTTACCCCACGAGTGGCAGCTTGAGGTAGAAATTTCCATTTCCTCCTAAAATGATGCCGCTTATAATAACATCTCTTCCTTTGCAGAGCAAAGCTGGGAGAGATTATTCTTTCTCATGGTTCTCATGATCATGGTTCAACTTCAAACCTGGTGGAACGATTGTGCAGCATGAGCTCTCTGATTTCAGATGACAGGCTGACGCAGAAGTTGAGTTCGTTGGTTCTTGTTGATGCTACGGTTGCGTGCGGTCAATATGGCACGGAAATACTCCTTCAGCTGCAGAGGTGAAGGTTTTATCCCGTCGTTTCACATTTGACACTTGCTGTCTTTGCAGGGTGGTTCACCGCGAGCCCTGGAACATGAAGGCACGATATTGCTTGATACTGGTTTTGCTTGGTGGTGCGCGAAGACAAGGCTTTCCTCGTCATCTCTGCCATACTATACTACGAATATCGACAACTACTCTGTACCATCTCCCTTCTTCCTCTGATCGTCAGGCTGCCTACATGCGAATGCAGATAGAGCTTTGTGTGTCGGAGAGTGAGCTGAGGCTCGGCAACTACACTTGCGCTCTTGACCGAGCCGTGGCATCTCTCAACGCCATCAAGGGGTTCTCAGATCTCAATGCGGCTCCTGCGTACCTCCAGCTCGCTCGCTGCTATCGTCTACTCAACGACTTGTCTCATTTCGTAAAAGGAGCAGTGGCAGGGTGGCAGCAGCAAACAGATGTAAAACGAGACAATGCTCTTTGGCACTTGTCATTGCTGGAGTTGCAGCTATGCTGTGGAGTGATCAAAGAGGACGATAGTGTGTTATTCAGGCTCAGGCATTCGCTGCAGCAGTCCAAGCAGGGATGGTTAGCACTTCTTGAAGTGATGCTAGCGCGCCTCTATTATCAAAGGGCTGAGCCAGAGCTATCAGAGGATGCTGCAGCCAATGCATTGCTATGGTGGCCAAACAATCCAGTGCTGTGTCTCTTCCATGGTACGTTAACAGGCACAAGTTTTGATCGATTGAACTGACCCGCGCTACTTTGTAAAGGTGCGGTATCTTTGGAGCTGGCAAAGTCGGGGAAGGGAGCCAGCTATGCATCTAAGGCTGTTTCAAGCCTTGGGAAAGCGGTGCGAGACAAGGGTAGAGAGCTTCCGACGGCATACGCTCTTCTAGCTCAAGCCGAGTCAAGCGGCAGCAAAGATGGATCGAATCGGGCAGGTGTGGTAAAAAAATGGGCCAAGCACCTGCGAGCAGCATTCCTGGCATGGCCTACGACAGGTACTACTACACAAGTGTGTCATTGTTGCTTTCGTTGATTTCGTCGTTTCTTACAGAACATCCAGTACCAGCAGAGATGTTTTTCCTCATGGCTTTACTATCCAAGCAGCAAGTAGGGGGCGAGCAAGGCGAGAGATGCCCCGAGGACGATAGAACTTGGTGGTCATGGCTACAGGCGGCTGTGCATTTGAACCCGACATGTCCAAAGTACTGGACATTATTAAAGCAGATAAAATAGTTCTTTTCTACGAGTGATTTTCCACCCTATGCAGTGTTGTTCTGTACTTCACAGCTACTTCTGGCTTCAATTACCGATCTTAGCATCCTGCTATTTTGGTATGGCTTATGACAGGATTTAAGGCTGAAACGCTTTAAGGTGGTTTAGGGTTGGCTCCAGTGATAGATAATTAGTCATACCTACATTATTTTATTGAAAAATAGTGTGATTTAGCTTAAAATTTATTTTATAGTATATACATACATACATACATATACATATACATACATATATATATATATATATATATATATATATATATATATATATATATATATATATAAACATATTATAATAAAGATAATCTGACTTAAATTATCAAATATTACATCTGTAGCAACAAATATTACCACAAAGATTTAATGCTATATCATTTCAAATAACATAACATCATAGCAAGTTTCATTCTTGTGTCATTAAGCACAACTTTATAATCTCTTGATTGTGACCATCTCTTTTTTGCACATATTTCATTCATTGTATTTAGATTGCAGTAAGCCCTCTGCTTTTATAAATGCTTCTCATTTCTTGCATGGCACACTAATCTATATAGTAATTGTACATAAATTTGTGTAAAGGTGAACATAATTGATTAGAGTGTAAAGGTGAGTACAAAGACTTTCTTTGGGTGTTTAGGGTGTTGAGCATAGTGGTTTTTAACAAGTGGATCATGTTGTAGTTGTGGTTCCATCAATTTCTCATGTTCTTAATCATGTGTGTAGATTTTTAATATTATAATGGTTTATTGTGCTTGGATGTGTTGCAAAGTAATAGTATAGACCTTTCTTCCTTGGCTTGAGTTATATAATTATTTTAGTGATTGTTTTGTGGGGCATTGTAATGCAACATATATATTTACAAATAATAATTTTTCTGGGTAGTAATATATTAATGTTCCTAAAAAATATTATTTTATATTCTAAGTAAAACGTAAAATTAATTAATATCTTACAGTGGGTATTAAACCCGTACAGGCAAAAGGAAATTAATTCATGAGATCTTGGTGCACCATAGACCGATTTTAATCTTTTGAGAAGGGTTTGAATATTAGCATATCTATTGTGATCTGAAAGATGAAATAAAAATATCATTTATATATAATATAGTTTTAACAATAGAAAATTGATTTTTACTTTTTTCTTTATCAGGTATTTTTCTAAATATATTCATATTTC